GGGTTTTTATGGCATAAAGGTGACCACCTTTTTGCCATAAACACCCCATGCATCTTGTAGACCACCTTTTAGGGCTTTTTGAGCCAAGGACCCCATGCATGTGCATCAAGTTTGGAACTTTACGTGAAAATGGACATTAGGAGGCCAGATCTATGGTTTTGATGTATTAAGACCCATTTAAATCGATTGTATAGTTATGGTCAAGGATGGACTCGGCGAGTCGTTCTTGGGACTCGGCGAGTCAAGGTGTAACGACCACCAAATCCTTTCTGTAGAGGGATCATATGATAGGGTGGAAAGTCCCTCGGTTGTTTAGGCTCATAAAGGACCTGGGAATCATGGGACTCGGCGAGTGGTTGAGCAAACTCGGCGAGTCCAAGGCAATCTCCCAATCTTTGAAGATGGACTCGACGAGTTGTTCATACAACTCGGCGAGTCATAGAATGGACACATTCTTATGAGGGAGATGAACTCGACGAGTTCAAGGATGAACTCAGCGAGTCGGATGAAGATGGTCCCGATGGTATGATGGAAGGAGAACCCGTCGAGTTCTTGCTAGACTCGACGAGTAGAGTCGGGGGTTGGTTCGAGTTAGAGGAGTATGGACTCGACGAGTTGGTAGACCAACTCGGCGAGTAAGGTCAACTGGATGTTGACTTTGACCAATGTTAACTTTGACTGAATTGAGTTGACCCTGGTCAGGGTTGCATGTTCAAATTAATAACTTAGAAGGGTTGTCGTGTAGGGATTGAGGAGTCGAGGGGAGTCGACTTTCACGCCGAGGACATTTCAGACACTACACGACATCGAGGTGAGTTACCTTCCAGTAGAAGTGGGTCTAAGGCACCAAGGTCGGCCCACTAGTAATTGTTTAGTTGTGATGATTGTCTTTGTGATAATCATCTGGGTTGTTTGTGCTTGATATATGTGTATGATAGTATGCTATGTTATGTGAGATAGTATCAGTAGGAGGGGACTAGTCCCCGATTTGGTCGCTAGGACCAATGGGTAGGTCAAACACCCCAGATATGTCTGACAACATGATTATGATATGATATTATATGCTAGCGGTAGGGGGTGAAATAGTCCCCGTATTCGGTTGAGATAGACCGGAGGGTAGGTCGACACCCCAGAATAGCCTGACATGGGTAGGTCAGCACCCAGAATGGCTTGACATGGGTAGGTCAGCACCCCAGAATGGCTTGACATGGGTAGGTCATCACCCCAGAATGGCTTGACATGGGTAGGTCGGGCACCCCAGAATTGCCCGGTAATATGTATATGGTTTTGGTATGTGGTATGATGAGGGAACTCACTAAGCTTTGTGCTTACAGTTTCAGTTTTTGGTTTTAGGTACCTCTTCGTCCAAGGGGAAGGAGTCGGCGGTGTAGCAGTGCATCACACACACACACACATGATTTCCGCATGGAGTTTCTAGGATTGTACTCTGATTTTCATAACTTTTGATATTGTGATTTTGAAACATGACGTTATGGTTTTTATAAGTTGATGTAACCTTGACAATGTTTTGGTACACTAATTCATGAGGTACTTAATGTAAAAATGAAATTTTTGGCCTTGAAAATTGGGATTTTACACTTATGTTCCCCAACATACGATGCCACAACTCTGTCTTGTCATCACCTTCATTCAAGGATTAGGAGATAGCCACCTTTCCCATAATCGTACTGCCTTCCACAATGTACATCCCTCCATAATTCATCTTTCCCTTCTTTATAACCAAAGCACCTTTGGTGACTTTGACCCAGTCACCTTCACCAGCGTACCTCATCCCATTCTTAGCCAACGTGCTAAGAGAAATTAGATTCTTCTGATGTTCCAGAATGTACCAGCAATCAAACTTCACGACCATACCATCATGCATCTTGATCTGCACAGTACCACTACCCTTGATACCAGTGTTGTAAAACTCGCCGAGTTGGCCGATTACTCCTCCGAGTAGTCGCTACTCGGCCCTTTACCGAGGCGAGTTACAGAATCTCGAGTACTCCCCGATCGGCCCCTTACTGAACTGAGCAGTGTTGTAAAACCCGGTCAACTCAGTGATTAATATGTATAATATATGTAACGATTTAATATTTAACACACACACACACACACACATGTGATTATTACTACAAATATATCTTAAATTTTTAGTAATTATTCACGAAGTGAGACCATTATGTGTTTTTCAGTTTTTGTGTATTCACATGTATCTAATTTTGTTATATATTTCAATCAACTTAAGATTTTAACTTATGATTTTGACATATATAAGTTCCCTAAAAATATTTCTACATGAATTACCGAATCCGAGTACTCGCCAAGTACTCCTGAGTACTCGCTACTTGGTAGTCGGCCGAGCAGGTACTAAGTAACGAGATCTACAACCTTGCTTGATACTGCTCACCCAATCATCACTCATCTTGACTGTGCAATTCCACTCTTTGAAGGGGTCGAACCAGTCACGATTGTACGTCATGTGATAGGATGCTCCAGAATCCAAGACCCAAGCATCAGCAGAACTTGATGTACTTACAGTCAGTGCCTCATCATCATCCCCTTCATAAGAACTCTCTTAAACCACGTCAGTAGTGTTATTGCTGCTTGACTCACTCTTGAACTTTCTATTATTCAGTTGTGGACAATTTCACTTGAAGTGCCCCATCTCTTTATAGTTGTAACATTTCACATTTGATGAACCTTTAGACTTCGATTTTGAACGTGGCCTCCCTATGTTTCCCCATTTCCTATCTTCTGTCATTCCTCTCCCTGCGAATAAACCAGAATCGGGAACCTCTTCTCCAACTGAAACTTTTCTTTTTAGTTCCTTGGACATCAAAGAATCCTTCACATCATTCACATTGATCATTCTCCTACCATAGAGCATGGTATCAATGAAATTTTCATATGATTTTAGAAGAGAACAAAAAGAGAATGAGCGCCTGATCTTCATATTCAATCTTCACATTAACACCTTGTGGATCCAAGATGATGTGATTGAAGTTATCCAAATGATCTTTCACTTGGGTATTTTCAGAAATTCTGAGAGTATACAACCATTGCTTCTGATATAACCTATTCGTCAGAGAGTTGTTCCGGTACTTGTCACGAAGTTTCTCTTAAATCCTAAAAGCAGTTGTTTGATCCACGACATCCCTCAATACTTCATCTGTTAAACTCAATAGAATGGTACTATCTGCCTTTGTCAGAATGTCCACCTTCTTTTCAGTCGCCATATCTTTTGGCAGTTTTGCCTCTCCTTCCAGTGTCGCTGCACATCCTTGTTGAACCAGAAGAGCGATCATCTTCACCTTCCACAAAGTGAAGTCATTTGAACCATTGAACTTATCCAAATCAAACTTATAAATAGACATCTTCAATCATATGAACACAAACCGCAACTCTAGTACCACTTGTTAGGAAGTAAAGCGGAAAATAAGCAAAAACATAAGCACACAAGACATAACATTTATGTGGTTCGGTCAAGGTGACCTACGTCCATAGGCAGGAGAAGAGTATTCTTTATTTTAGAGTTCTCAAACAGAGGTTACAAGTACAAATTAACAAAGATTCGTCTGTCACTATAGAATTCAAGACACAATCCGCCATGCAGTAGCTAATGGATGGTGTCAACCAATCATAATCCACCATGCAGTAGCTTCTAGAACATTCTTCCACAATATACAGCACATGTGTATCAGAAACACACATGATGGAGCACCTTGAGCCATAATGGATCATCATGATGTACAAGTGGCGCATCATGAACACTAGTGGCCCAACATCCATCATGGTGGCACAACATGGTGTATTCCTAGAGCATCACCAACTTTTAAGCACCATAGAGGATTTCATGACTCATCAGGGATATCATGGCTCATTAAGGAACCAAGATGGCGCAACACCTTCCCATTTGGCGCAACATGCTCCTATATGGCGCAACTCCTCTTAAGGATGGCGCAATTTCTCCTATGTGGAGCAACTTCTCTTGCATGACGCAACACCCTTACTCATGTCACAACTTCTTTTATAATGCCACAATATGCTTCCATTTGGCGCAACATCCCTAAGGATGGCACAACTTCTATCTACTTGGTGCAACATCATTATGGATGGCACAACTTCTACTTGGATGGCGCAACATGTTGCTCCATGTTGCTCCAAGTGCTCCAAGTTGATCCTTACACACTTTTGGAAGATCCGTTCCTTTGTCATTTGATTCGTTCCTTTGTCTGATGATCTATTCTCTTCTCAGATGATCTGTTCCTTTGCATGCTCCATGAATCTCAAGTTCTCCATTAAGTTCTAAATGCTCCATTTAACTCAGTTGTTCCATTAGAATGATGCAAATGCTCAAGTCATATTTAACAGTTAATAATAGAATATACTTAAATAATGGGAACAATTAGTGAAATGACAAAAATACCCTCACATGGATAGCATATGGCTGACTTAACATAATGAAGTTGAAGGTTGTTAGCATGAGTGGCCAAAAAAAAAAAGTCAAAATTAAACCACCGATACGAATCCAAACTTTTTTAGACCAAAGTTGAAAGTAGTTTACTCTTTAATTGATTTTATTGTTAGTGTAAATATTTATAAACCATTAACTATGACTTATGTTATTCCAGCTCTTCCTAAGTCCTACCATTACCACCAGCAATCTAACTAACACACATAATGTTTGTGCAAAAAAAAATGTCTAAATGACAATTTTGAATGCCAACTTCGAAATCCGGACTCCGCTCCCCTCCAAAATACAATGTTATGGAGAAAATGTTTATATTGCAAAACCCAAAAAAAAATTGTAACTTTTGTTAAATATGTTGTTACTTTAATAGTTTAATCTGTAACCCTAAAGTAATTCATCATCTAAATAATCATTGCAATTAATTTCAAAATAAAACTAATTTTGGTCGGTTGATTATTAATTTGAATTATTTTGGCGCATTCTATACTCCACTAGACTAGGGACATGGAAAGCAAGGGTAAAAAGCATAAGCAATTAAGCATTGGGAAAGTCTATTGCGTAAAACAAGAGCTTCTTCCTAGTCCTAGCTTTAGGCTGTAAAGTGTAACCACACAAGCTCCATCGTGAATCGTCATATTCCACATGTATTCGGTTCACGAATGGGCATGGCGTTTAATATGATGAGATATGTGTTGCTGATGTCTAACTGCCACCTCCTGGTCGCCGCCGCCTCCCTTGCAATCATCAATTCTGAAACTACATCATCATCATCAAGATCTGCTGTTGGCGACCCTGGAATGAAGAGAGATGGGCTGAGAGTCGCATTCGAAGCCTGGAATTTTTGCAATGAAGTTGGAACGGAAGCCCCTTCCATGGGTAGTCCCAGAGCTGCTGATTGCTTCCATCTCTTCTCCACCGGTATTATTTCAAATTAATTCCTTGACACTATTTCAGATTAATTAATGATTCTGCATGATCTTTTAGTTAAAGGTAAAGATGGAGGAGGTTCAGGCAACTACTACTACTTAAATCACAAAGTAACGGAGGCGGATAACAGGTTGGGGGTGGGGAACTCATTTTCTGGATTGAGTCGGAAAGCACTTCACGATCCAGACCTTTACGCAGCAGAGAAAGAGGTGTATCTGGGCAATCTATGCCAAGTGGCAGACAAAGAGAACGAGAACGAAAGCAGCCCATGGCAGTTTTGGATGATTATGTTGAAGAATGGCAACTACGACACCACCTCTGGTCTCTGTCCGGAGAACGGTAAAAAGGTGCCTCCTTTCCCGCCGGGAAGGTTCCCTTGTTTTGGAGATGGTTGTATGAATCAACCCATCTTGGCCCATCACCCCACCTCCATTTCCTTCACTGGGTCTACAAAGTATGCTTCGGATTCGGATCCAGTTATGCGAGGTGGTTTCAACGGCACTTATGATTTAGATTATTCTTTGAAGGAGATCAACTCCGGCGGTGGCAGCAATGATATTTCATATTTTGAGGTGAATTGGGAGAAGAGAGTTGGAGTTGGTAGTTGGGAATTCAGTCACAAACTCAGAACTTCAAAGTTCTACCCATGGCTCATGTTGTACCTCAGAGCTGATGCTACCAAAGGTTTCTCTGGCGGCTACCATTACGACACAAGAGGCATGCTTAAAACCGTACGTATGTTCCCTAACCTTTTTAAATTACTAGTTGTACCTAAATCTCCATCATATCATAGGACAATAATACATACCATGGATCAGATCATCATCATAGTATCATATATACACCATATTGCTTTATTGGTAATTTTCATTTACTCCCTAATTGTTGTTTAGATTATAGTTGCTTAAAGGTCTGTCATCATTTTATACACAAATTAAGGGTGTTCAACTTCAAAGGACAAATTAATCATTCAAAGCATATATGCATTTATTGTGACTGTGAAAGGATTTATGAAAAAAGGGAATTTTGATGAACCTTATGGAACCAAAAAGATGTTATATCCCTTTGTATAAAAAAGAATTTCTATATCACTTTGCTTTGAGTATTTATATAAAACCTTTTCTCCATTTGGTAAAAAAAAAAAAAAAGCTTGTGGTGGGTGGTGGGTCACCAAACAATTGAAAAGGAAGACAGTCTTATTTTAATATTCTTTGTACGAGTTATCCATCAAATCGCATCACTTGTTGTTTGGCACTTTGGCTGGCTCATCACTCATCAGTAGTGATCAGATGGAAATATGGAATGTTACCACATATATAAAACGGAACCGATTTGTTATTTGTTGAGTATTTTCATCATGCACATCTAAACATAACTCATTAATTTAAGACTCTAAAAAAAAGTTAATAATAAAGTTAAATAAGGCGGCGCAGTTTGTTGCCCATTTGTTATTTCACTCGTGATAAATAAGTTTTATTTTAAACTTTTACTTTATGCATAAAAATAAATGAATAAAAAATAGAGCTTTATCATCACTTATTAATAATGACTAATACACCTGTAACCCAAATTAATTAGACGAGTTTTTTAAATCCACCGACGAGATATACACGAAATAAATAAGAGCACCAATTTTATTTATATATTATTTTATTGTTGTTTATATAAACTGTGTATTCACAGTTTGTTGAATATCTATAAAACTGATAATCACAATCATTAAAAAAGCGAATGGTTAAAGCTTATTTGGAAAAGCTTTGAATTGAATAAATAAGCTCCCACTGTATATATATACTAGTTTAATTTTACTATAGATGTGAGGGGTTTTTTTGCCAATAATTAATTAAGTTTTTTTGAAACGTTGTATATATATTCTAGGAATCAATTTTTTGTAATATTTATTTAACAAACAGCTTCCAGAGTCCCCTAATTTCAAAGTGAGGTTGAGGCTGGATGTGAGGAAAGGGGGAGGATCAAAGAGCCAATTCTACCTGATAGATATGGGGAGCTGCTGGAAAAACAATGGAGATCCTTGTGATGGAGATGTGTTGACAGACATTACCAGATACAGCGAGATGATCATAAATCCCGAGACCCCGGCATGGTGTGCCCCATCAGCACTTGGAAACTGCCCGCCTTACCACATTACCCCCAACAACACAAAGATTTACAGGAACGACACTGCCAGGTTCCCGTATGGGGCCTACCACTACTACTGTGCTCCCGGGAATGCAGACCCACGCCACCTGGAGAAGCCATACAGCACCTGCGACCCCTACAGCAATCCGCAGGCTCAAGAACTTGTACAGTTGCTGCCTCATCCGATATGGGAGGACTACGGATTTCCAACAATCCAAGGACACGGTTGGGTCGGAGATGCAAGGACTTGGGACCTTGATGTTGGTGCCCTCTCTAGCAGACTTTATTTCTATCAGGTACGTACTTACTTACTTATTATATACATAATTAATTAATTAATTAATTAATTAATTAATATGTATTGGATATATGCAGGATCCAGGAACTAAAGCTGCTACAAGGATATGGACATCACTTGATGTCGGAACTGAGATATTTGTAAGTGACAAGCCCGAAGAGGCAGAATGGATCGTGAGTGATTTTGATGTTATAATTACATAACACAAATCAGATATGCCAGATGTATACTAGCTACTCCTATCTGATTTATAATAATTAAGTAATCGGAAAATAATTAATCATGTTCCTTTCAAACTTCTCACCTTTGTTTTAAGGCCTTCCGCTATACATATCACGAACAACGGAACCACGAGACCATCACCAGCCATGAACTATTGCTGGTGTACCCTTCACGACCATGAAGAAAAGAGAGAGAAGAAGAAGAAGGCTGCTCTGAGAAAGAAGAAGGCCGTGGTCCTTCGTGCTGCCCACCACAAATCACCACGAACACGCCGAACCACGAATGGTCGGGGTAGTGTGCACGGGCGTTTTCCGTGGCCACGTAAACCACGAGACGGTTTGTGTAGTGTATACCAGACGGCCTAATGATACACAACTCGACTTCTAGTAATGATTATAGAGTCTAATCAACAACAAATGTTCTTAGAGCAATCGGTATTGGCCAAACGAGATGTAACGCCGGTGACGTGGCGCATGGCGACGGCGTCTTAACGGGGGGAACACCGCCCCCCTGCTCGTTGCAACTCGTCGAGATTGGATCTCGTTGGCGTCACGACTGGATGAAACGAAGGAAATTTGACCGTTTGCAAACGTTTTAATTGCAACGGTTTTTTAAAAAAAATTAACTATTAAAAAACAAACAATTTACCCTATAAATACCTACCATTTTATAAAAAATTTCACACACTTTCTCTTCTCCTCTCTACATACTTTCAATTATCTTCAAAAAAAATATGGATCTTTTCGACTCATCCGATGATTCAGATGACGATATTTTCTTTAGGATGATGTATCATTATTACACTACCGACCTGCTACAACCAGACCCAGCCCCGCTACTAACAAGACGTGCGATGTTAAACAGAAATCGCGAGGAAGGACACGAACATCTATATCGCGATTACTTTGCGGATAATTGTGTATACGGGGCGAAGGACTTCAAAAGAAGATTTCGTTTGACTAGGGATGTGTTCTTACGAATCGTCAACGCCTTGGAAAGCCGGTATCGTTTGTTTACTATACTTTTATACAAAATAAATAAAAATGTACTACATGTTTCTTTAATTTTACAACATATGCAATATATTTTTAAACTGTAGTTAATTTATGTTTAGGTACGAATTTTTTCAATTAAGATATGATGCTAGAGGTAGACGAGGGTTTACAACGTTGCAGAAATATGATGCGGCCATTCGTTTGATGGCTATAGGGGAGTCACCCGACACCATGGACGACTATATGAGAATGTCCGAAAGAACCGCAAGAGAGAGTTTGTATACATTGTCAAGGGGTGTTGTTGAAACTTTTGGAGACGTGTATTTACGGAAACCTTCATTGCATGATTTGCAAGAATTGTATGCGGCGCATGAAGAACGCCATGGGTTTCCCGGAATGATCGGAAGCATTGATTGCACACACTGAAAATGGAAAAATTGTCCGGTAGCATGGAAAGGGCAATACGCAAGTGGTCATCACGGATCACCTTTGTTGGTGTTAGAGGCTGTCGCTTCTCAAGATTTATGGATTTGGCATGCATTTTTTGGGGTTGCGGGTTCCAACAACGACGTCAACGTTCTTGATCAGTCGCCAATATTCGACGATCTTTTGAATGGAAAAGTCTCGGATGCTCCTTTCACGGTGAATGGAAAAGAATACAAATATGGGTATTACCTTACAGATGGAATATATATCCTCGGTATTCCACATTCGTGAAGGCATTCCGCCACCCGGTTGAAGAACGAGACAATTTTTTTAAGAGAAGACAAGAAGGAGCACGTAAGGATGTGGAACGTGCTTTTGGAGTGCTGAAGGCGAAGTGGCATATAGTCGAACATGCAGCACGACCATTGGATTTAGAAACTCTACGATATATCATATATGCATGTATCATAATGCATAACATGGTAGTAGAAGATAAAGGGTGAAATATTGCACACTATATCCCAACGGAGCCCAGACACGTTCAGTTTCAACCAGGAACAGCAGATTATTTGCATCGCGTTGTTGACATCCATGACGCAAATAAACACAGACAACTTCGAGAGGACTTGGCTGATTATATCTTCTATGGTAACAATAACGATAACGAATAGCGTTGTATTTTTTTTTTGAATTTGGATGTTATTTCTTTTTTTGTTTTTGGATATTATGTGTAATTTAGTCTTTATGTTAATTTTAATCTTTAAAAATTTTTAATTGTTATTTATAATTTTTAAACATTATGTTTTATTTATTATGTTATATTTAAAAAATATTTGTCTAAATTTAAAAAAAAAATCGAAATAAATAAAAAATAAATTATAAAATGGAAAAAAAGTTGGTATCATAACAAGATATAACATGTTGCCCATTTCCCCACTTGGTGTTATAACATCATTGATGATGTGGCATGTGATGTGGCATGTGATGTGGCACCAAAATGGTGTTACATCTAGTTGCCCACACCTTATGGTCTTAATTATTAATACTAATCTAATCCTACTTCGCAAATAAGTGTTACAAAACTTAATTAACTCTTAACACTATGAGCATCATAGACGGAAAATTCCGACTGAAAAATCCATGGCTATAGCCTTTAGCCACAGATCAGCGATGTGAAATTTTCCTTTGGAAATAAGAGCCTCGCAGTTGAGGGAATTTTACAATTAGCGACAGATTTTCGGTCAATAATTTCCTTCAAAATAACTAAAACTATTGAGGGTTTGTCTTCATGCGTTGGGGCAGGTTTTTTAATCTTATATTTTCGACAACAGTTCTATAGTGTTATCTAACAAAGAGAACATGTTTGTAATTTCGCTATTACAACGAAAACATTATTGTAATGTTGTCATACACGGAGACCATTTATGTAATATCACTATTACACAAGGGCAATTTCTGCAATCTCACTGCTACATAGCGATCATTTATTACCTTTCATAAAAACCATTACTGTAACTTTATTTTATATAGGGACCGTTTCTTGTAATTTCATTATTAGACATAGTAAATTGGGAAATTAAGTAAACTAACCAATGAACTATTTGAAAAAAGTATTTATTATTATTATTATTATTATTATTATTGTAAAATAACCATTTTGTCTGGAATATAGTATTCCGGAGAGGTCTCCGGGACAACGGAGTAGGATTCCGGAATAGATTTTTTTTTTTTGTTTCTTTATGTGTAACATGTGTTTTGTTTTTTTTTTTTTTATAAGTTTTGTTTTTATAAAATCTAAAATGCAAATGTAATCTTAAAAATCAATAAAAAAAACTAATAAATACATAAACTTAAGAGATTTGTTTAAAGTAATAATACAATGTTCAAATGGTTTTTGTGCTTGTACCACAAAAAAATTTCACTATAGTCGTTTCCGATATGACATAGCTCATTGACCGCTTTCACCATTTATAAAATATGATTTTCTGGCGATCAACATCTCTAAGAACCAACACAAAAGCACCCACAATATCCTTTACTATCAATTCGTTGTGGTACGTTTGTGGTCTTTTCGAGGGTCATGTTGAAACTCTCAAGTGGGATTGCATGGGTTGGTTCGGTACCCCAATAGTTGCTACCCCCTAGTAGTCTATGGATGCAAGCTCTCATACCTATAAACCATTCCTCTTCTTCTGAAAAGTGGTCGCTCTTCCAATGACTATCCTATATAGTCATTTTGAATGTCTTCAAATCCAAAGCACCCAAAAACCAGTGACCAATTGGTATATTGATTGGGATATAAAGCTACACAAAAGGTCAGAAATAATTAATCATCAAATAACATTATATTATAATTTACTGTTACTTAGATAATGTAATCCAAACACAATTATACCGTATCACAGTCTGTCAAAGCTGGGTAAACGGATCCGTCAACCATATCACTCCATTCAAACACATTAGTATTGAAAGTTGTCGGCACAACCATGCACCGCGCATCATCCGCTCTACGCTCTATCAGTAATGACACCCACATCATGATGTGCTGACAATCAAAAAAATTTACAGTAAAGTATTGTTATTAGAAGCGTAGTATGTAATGAGCACATAATTATATAACTTGCATCGCATTCCAACCAGCCTGCGTGACTATCCACGTATAAACGCGTCCAAACTTCAATCGTCGCAATACCTGATGCAGCGTGCAAAACGGAACAAAGATAAATAAGAGTGAGCCTGATGATTCTAATAGAATACCCAGGACAATCTCCTCAAAACCACGGATTCTACGAATACCATGGGATTGGCTTTAAAATCTGGTCTAACACACACAAAATTTTGGGAGGAAACTAAAATTTTATAAAACTGATTAATGATCATCCAATTGACATCAGTTACACATAAATAAGGAGCAAAATTTAAAATGGGCCTCAAAATAACCATGGGCCAAACACAAACCCAAAACTATGGAAAATTAACAAAATTGTTCATAACTCCATTTAGAAATCGATTTTTGGACTAAAAATGGGTAAGTCCCCTTCAGATACTTATCATGATGTGCTCCTTTGTTCCAAGCTTCGATTTGACTGGTCGTAGGCCCAAAACAGAGTCCCGTAGCCAAAGTTATGGCTATTTCCATGAAGCCCATTTAGTCACTCGATCATGGGCCTCTAGGAACGTTGCCCGGTCCTCCACACTAAGTCCTGCATCATCCCCCCTGGGTAGACAAAAATCGACCTCGAATGTGCACCATGCTCATCATCTGAAGAATCCCCATGAAAAGGAAGCAAATGTTTTACATCGAAAACATCATAACAACGAATGTGACTTGGCAACTTCAGACGGTAAGATTTGGAATTGATTTTCTCCACAATTTCCACGGGTCCAATCTTCTTGGTTGATAGATTATTGTACTCACCAACCGAAAACGATCCTTAGTCAAAACAGCCCACACAAAGTCACCCGCCTCAAAATCAACTTGCTTCCGATTCTTATATGCATCTTGCTTGTACTTGGAGTTGGCTCGAACCAAGTTGTCATGAACAACCTTATGAACACAATGTAGTCCCTCCATGAAATCCTGCACTTTTTTTTGGAACAACACCAGAAACAGAAAGTGTCATCAAATCAAGT